TACATCTGAATCGAGTCTGCAACCCCAATTTTGATACTTATTTTTAACAAAGAAACCTGGCACGCAAATCTGGCCATGATCTTCTGAATGTTATTGTTATTTCTACACCATCCACAGCTTTGTGGTATCCAACCTGATGAAAACCTGTATAGAGTTGAAATCCAACTTGTAATTTTTAGTGGTCTAACAAAGGTATCACCCACACTTGCCTTCCCATGTTCTGGGTGTCCAGCCTGATGAAGAGCTGTGAAGGGCTACAAAAATTTCTTAAAAAATTAAGAGACCAATAAAGGCGTTGCCCAACTCTACTTTTTTGTCTGACAATTTTATCTCTTCGAGAAGGTCTCTTTCAACCCTAATACCCAAACTGGACTCCCACTAATATTATGGATCAAACCAGTAAGACTCTCTCCTGCTGAGCTACAGCAAAGGCTGCTACAGAATGCTCCGAATACTAGGCTGAATAATGCCTGAACAAGGCTTGTGCAATCCCAGACAAGGATTAATCCAGGTATAACTCCATGTGCTGACTATCTGAACCTTTGTTAGAGACCATCAGTTCTGCTCAGTTTAGCGTTGTTGCAGCCATGCACAGCAAAGCTGAACATATACACAGAGCAGAATGACTGGAAAAGGTTCCTGTGAGGGAAAATTGTATTTATGTGGTTAACCTACCCTGGGAGTAATCTAGTGCTGATAAGGAGCAACTGTAAACCTTATGTGTTAAAGTGCTGGACAGCAGTAAGAAGTAACAACTGATACAACATCATAAATTTTATTTAATAAAATTCCATCTATTATTCACCATATTCACATCTTACTGTCTTGGTTGCTATTACCAACAAAGTTACAAAGAAGTAGACTTTATACACACACAGTAGTGGAAGGTGAGTTTGATAAGGATCCTGGTGGCAAGAGCACGCATGGACAAGTGTGGAAAGGAAGGGCAAGACCCACTCAAAGTGTCAAGACAAGGCAGGGTCGCCACAGGTAGATATCAGTGGTGGGGTTGTTATGATGCTGATAATGTCACAGGGGGTTTAGGAGGCTGGGAGGAACCCAGGAGTGTAAAAAAATGATCTTGAGGGCCCTCTGAAGTCCACAGGCCACACTCCCTACCCGTGCTCTCGGTAGAATTAGTGATGGCATCATTGGGTCAACACAAGTCTCAAGAAGGGCCTGATTACTATTAGCAGACAAGCTATCTTTCATGAAAGCTTGACTGTCTCTCATTTTCTCCCCAGGACGTTTCTTAGAGATCCAAAGATTCCAAGGCCTAATTTAAAAGCTACCTATAAAGAGGCAGACACACCATTTTGACATTCAAGCCTGACTTAACCACGAATTGAAAAGAAGATGAGAAGCACAGCTAACAAGGCTGCAGAAACAACAGAACTTTTTATTATTCACAGGTTGCTCCAAATACTGCAGCTTCTCCCATCAAGATGTGTAAACATACAATTACATGAGAATCAGTAATATAAACAGCCACAGGCAGCATCCTTCAGATGAATGAGGGGAGTAACATCCTCCTCACAAACAGGCATTGCACCCTTGATAATTTCCTAACAAAACGGCATAATTTTAAAAACAGAGCAGCTTTTGTAGAGTTTGAGAACCCAAAATGAAGCTACGGCTCTTTATTCTTGAGCCACACTTCATAAAAACATTCAGTCAATCATTGTGCCCTTGGGTCATTAAAGCTTTAACTCCCAATTATATAAAAGAATGCCTGATTCACAACAGGCCTTTATTTAAATTCCTCAAGTAATTTTCAAAAATGGCTTAACCACTAAAAAAAACACACCTGAGTGAACAATTAAAAAAAAAACTAACACAATTCAGTTCAAATCAAATGAACATATCAGCCCACCTTCGGTCAATCGTTTTTTTACCTCAGAAATCTTAAGAGTGAAAGTAGGGAAAACACATGGTAATTAATTGTGAAGACTCTGATGAACTTGTCAAATCCAGGGGGACTTCAGAAGCAGCTTTCAGAGTGAAACACCCACTCGCTAATGTATTTTAATGTCCCACTCACTAAAAGCTTTAAAGTGCACAAGCTGGTTAGAATCGGTCAAGAGAGCTCCCACCGTCGGTTTGTCAGGGTTTGCTGTGTGGATGCTTTTAACTGGCCACCTTTTTTTGCTTTGTGTTAAATTATTGGTTTGATTATAACCACGCAATCATCGCTTCTTGCTGGGTTGCTTGACTGAGAAATGTTGTTAATATCCAAGGCACACCTGATCCATAGCTAGTTGTATTCTGCAAGAGATAAAAACAGTTGTAAAGCAAGGACCCCTCGCTATGTACAAACGTAATACCAGCTTGCTTGTGTGTGCATGTGCCCATATGCGAATGCACACACAAGACAGAAAGAACTGACCACAAAGACTAAACGATACTGCTGACTTTTCAGTACGGAAGAATACATATACAGGTAGTTCAGTTTGGTGTGGAGTTTTACCTGTCAATGTGATATCCCGATTCACAGACATTGACCAAGGCATACAGCTGTCTCAGAGCATATTCATACTGAAAACAGAAGCAAACAGGAGAAATGTTATACAGTGGTGCCTCGCTTAACGAGCGTGCCATTTAACGAGGAATCTGCATAGCGATCTAATTTTTTAGATCGCCAATGCGATCGCATTGCGTTGTTTTAATGGGTAAAACATCGCACTGCGATGATCTGTAAGCGTTTCGCTTACCGATCTTTGCATTGCAATGTTTTTTTAAACAGCTGATCGGCGGTTCCAAAATTTCCACCGGGTGCCCAAAATGGCTGCCTCAAGTGTTTTCGCGCCCTGCCCTCGCTTACCGAGGGCACGAAAATGGCGGCGCTATGGAGGGAGGAACTTCGCTGAACGGTGAGTTCGGGCCCCATAGGAACGCATTAAACCAAGTTTAATGCGTTCCTATGGGTTTTTCCGATCTGTTTAGCGATGTTTTTGCATAGCGACGATTAATCCGGAACGGATTAACGTCGCTATGCGGGGCACCACTGTACCTTATTGCTTTCCATTAGGATTAATTACTATTGTGATTATCTAGGAAAGAACCAAAAGCTAAAGAAGTCCCAGGGTGTCTCTCTCTCTCTCCACATTATACTCCCTAATGCCCCACAGTGGAGGACTTTGGTCTCCCTTTCTCTTACCCGTCCCATCCTATTACAGTATGGCTTTGGAAGGGTAAAATGTATCCAGCTAAAGAAGGCAAGCAATAACTTTACTCTATCCCAAGATGGGTCTGTTTCTTGTTAAGCACCACACTGCTGCAGGGTCAGTATACTGGGAACTGAATACCAGTGGTGGGTATAGCCAGAGTGAAATCGAGATGGGTTTGCCCTTTCCATCTTCCTGATCCTCTCTTCTCTCTCTCTCCCCTTCTCACTTCCCACATAGCAAACTAGAAACCAAAGCCACCAATTTCACAGGGCCTTGGGAAGTATGGCTCTAGGACAAAACCTTGCCTCCCCTTGCCTTAAATAACCCAGCTATAATAAACGCTGCATGTAAAATATGCCATCCTCCCAGACAATCATAATTCCTGAGCATCAACCGGTTTGATAAGATGTGCTCAGTACGCTCATCTGAGTTTGTTATGAAGTAGATAATCTTGCGCATAGACTTCTGGATTAGCTCTTTCGCCTTTGCAGGAAAATACAAAATAACTCAAATTAGCACCAAGATAAGCCAGCCAGCATTTAAAATATTTCTGTTGCACCTTTCTCCTTAAGGAGGACTCTGTCTCCCACTGCCATATGGAGTCTTGCTTAAGACTGCAGATTTTCCCTGTGGCAACTTTGATTCCAGTTCAAATAGGTAAAAAATGTAATTTAGGACTATTCTTAGAGCAATAATTCCACCAGATACCATACCTTATTCCCTCCTGCTCATGACAGTTACCCATCCATGCCAAAATCCATACACCGATAATTACACAATTGTGCACAGACCTTTGAGTTCTCCGTAAGTGTTCCTCAAGTTAAATGGAAGAAATAATGTCTGTAGTGCAATCAGCCTTGAGTCCCACCATTGCTTCTACATTATAGCAGGCTTTATTGTTAAGTGTAATACAGTACCTATACATTCCTAGTGCCTCATCAAGCCTGCACTGTACATCCGGAGACTGAGGTTAACTGTAAACCTTGTGGCTAAAACAGCTATGCATCCATGCTCTTCCTACCCCAATTCCCTTACTACTTCATCTGATGAAAAATTATGGAGAACCTGAAAGCTTTACACACCAACATAAATTTGCATCTGGTCCTATTAAAGATTTTGCCAGCCTATGGACTCTGCAGACACGTTTTAGTTCTTACGGTCCAAAATATATTTTTGCAAAATTTATTTCTGAATGCAAGGGAGGAATTTTATTTATTTATTTATTTATTTGACTTATACCCCGCCTATCTGGCCCACCGGGCCACAGAATCTTGAAATTCTGCGTGAGAAAAAAAGCTTGGAAGTACTGAGGTATGTCTGTAAACAGTCTCTTTCTGGATCTCAGGTGTAAAGGGAAATGAAACTGGGCTGGCAGGCAGAGGAGGGACATCTCTGCTTCTTCCTGCCCTTGGCAACATCCTCTCCAGCCCCTGACAATTCTACACAGAGAATTCTGGTTGAATGTCTTGTGATGCAGAGACAAATCTTCTATGAGCAGAGCCCTTCTTTTTTAGCAGATGGCAGATTCTGGATCCAGCTTTATGACTAGATATGTACTATAGTATAATTTTGGGAAACATGGGGCTAGAGATGGGCATGAACCAGTTCGTACCAGTTCGTCAAGGTAGCAGCACAGGTGCAACTGCTCCCCTTCCTGTCCCTTCAGCCGATCAGCCACTCACCAGGCCCAGCTTGCTTGCTTTTTCCACCTCCTCGGCGAATCGAGCTCTTGCCGGGACTGGGAGATTCGCCGTGGAGGTGGAAAAAGCAAGCAAGCTGGGCCTGGTGAGTGGCTGATCGGCTGAAGGGACAGGAAGGGGAGCAGTTGCACCTGTGCTGCTACCTTGACGAACTGGTACGAACTGGTTCATGCCCATCTCTAGCCCCATGTTTCCCAAAATTATACTATAGTACATATCTAGTCATAAAGCTGGATCCAGAATCTGCCATCTGCTAAAAAAGAAGGGCTCTGCTCATAGAAGATTTGTCTCTGCATCACAAGACATTCAACCAGAATTCTCTGTGTAGAATTGTCAGGGGCTGGAGAGGATGTTGCCAAGGGCAGGAAGAAGCAGAGATGTCCCTCCTCTGCCTGCCAGCCCAGTTTCATTTCCCTTTACACCTGAGATCCAGAAAGAGACTGTTTACAGACATACCTCAGTACTTCCAAGCTTTTTTTCTCACGCAGAATTTCAAAATTCTGTGGCCCGGTGGGCCAGATAGGCGGGGTATAAGTCAAATAAATAAATAAATAAATAAAATTCCTCCCTTGCATTCAGAAATAAATTTTGCAAAAATATGTTTTGGACCGTAAGAATTAAAACGTGCCTGCAGAGTCCATAGGCTGGCAAAATCTTTAATAGGACCAGATGCAAATTTATGTTGGTGTGTAAAGCTTTCAGGTTCTCCATAATTTTTCATCAGATGAAGTAGTAAGGGAATTGGGGTAGGAAGAGCATGGATGCATAGCTGTTTTAGCCACAAGGTTTACAGTTAACCTCAGTCTCCGGATGTACAGTGCAGGCTTGATGAGGCACTAGGAATGTATAGGTACTGTATTACACTTAACAATAAAGCCTGCTATAATGTAGAAGCAATGGTGGGACTCAAGGCTGATTGCACTACAGACATTATTTCTTCCATTTAACTTGAGGAACACTTACGGAGAACTCAAAGGTCTGTGCACAATTGTGTAATTATCGGTGTATGGATTTTGGCATGGATGGGTAACTGTCATGAGCAGGAGGGAATAAGGTATGGTGTCTAGTGGAATTATTGCTCTAAGAATAGTCCTAAATTACATTTTTTACCTATTTGAACTGGAATCAAAGTTGCCACAGGGAAAATCTGCAGTCTTAAGCAAGACTCCATATGGCAGTGGGAGACAGAGTCCTCCTTAAGGAGAAAGGTGCAACAGAAATATTTTAAATGCTGGCTGGCTTATCTTGGTGCTAATTTGAGTTATTTTGTATTTTCCTGCAAAGGCGAAAGAGCTAATCCAGAAGTCTATGCGCAAGATTATCTACTTCATAACAAACTCAGATGAGCGTACTGAGCACATCTTATCAAACCGGTTGATGCTCAGGAATTATGATTGCTATGAATCGGCACTAGAGCACTTCAAAGCCCGCTGCTTCAACTGGCAC